CAATTTTGAAAAATAGATCTGCATTACGGTTAACAGTTGTCGATTATCGGTTGGATCTTAATCTGTAATCTCAGTCACACCATCTAGTAATGAGAGCTTTGGTACAATAAATCTAAGAAACTGGAATAATCGAAAACCCATTTGGCAAGTCCCGAGTTGGGATATAGCAATGATCTTTGATGGTACCACAGGAGGGCTAAATTCGAACCAGGGCCCAAGATTAGAGAACCGAGCAACCAGGTCCTATGGCAGAAGAAACACTAGCCAAACCACCAGGTTGTCACACCGAAGGAAAAGGGCATATGCTTCAAAAGTATGGACCAAGGGGAGGGCGTTCTTCAGGCACCTAAAGCCTGGGCAGACCAACCCATCCAGGTTGTCGGCTAGAAGTAGGAAGTGACTGATAGAGAATCTGGGTAAGAAGATAGTTCCAAATGCAGATACTGGGGTTGTTGGAAACCTTACAAGGGCAGTAAGTACGTAATAGGTGACTAATTAGAAAGGTTGTGCTTGAGATACAGATTGGGTTATGGCAGTACCCAAAAGTTGGCTTGAGATACAAACCCAGTAGTGGCAGTACAACATGTACTAGTTAGATAAAAAGTTACTAAACATGCAGGTGAATACATGTGTGGGACATGGACTACTCTGTTAGATTTACCTCGTGGATAGACTAGCTTTAGATGGTTAGTAAGTTCTAAGGTGAGTGCAAAATCTACAGATGTTACAAAAGCTACAACTGAATAGTGAGTTACACCTTGGTTAGGTAGAAGTAACTGACAGTTAGAACCAGAGGGTTTAAATGGGTACCCCCTAGTTGGGGTGCAGGTACAGCAGATAGTGTAGAACCTTCGGGCGGACTACTTAAATTATGCACTCAAAAGGTGCACATGTGGCAATATATACTCTCATTGTAATTGTATAATATTATATTTACTTAATAAAAAGTTCCCAGCCAGAAAGACCACCTTAATACCATAATAAAAAAAAATAAAAATAAAAAAAAAGTAATATTATTTTATTTTTTTTTAATTAAAAAGAAAATATATATATATATATATATATAATCACAAAAACAATGATAGATTAATTTTTTTAGAGCACAATAAAATTTAGTACTTATAAAAGTTTGTGAATAGTTAAATTTAAGATTAAATGGGGTTTATTGCAAATCCCAAAAGGCAGATTCCTGAAAGAACTTAATGCTGACAAAAGTTGGCTAGCATTAGTTATAATGCTTGTAATTTGATTGATATTATGTTCTTTTGGGAAAATGGGTTTCGGAATTTGTAGTAGTACTGTTAAATGGATATCATAGTTAAACTATATATATTTACACTAGGTTATCAACTCGCAGCCTTGCTGCGGTCTCTCGTTTAAACTTTTTTAGATAGTAACATTAGCATTAGAATATATCAAGGTGTTAGCTAAAGTTTGGGTGACTTTGATCATCAACCTGAACTTTTAGATGCACCCTGAAAGATTTATTAACATTAATTTATAAATAGAATAAGAATATAAACTTAATATAAATAAGTATTAAATATATAAAATAAAATTTGTTTTAGAATTAAATTATTTTATTATAAAGTTTATTAATTTAAATTTTTTTTTTGTATCTTTTTTACATATTAATTATAATTTAGCATATGAGTATAATAAATTACTTAGATTTATTTAATTTTTCATAACTATAAATTAGAAATGGTGTATAAATTTAATAATCTATTTAAATTCGCAAATGAAACTTTAAACTGGGGTTAAAGAACCAAGTAAAAAAAGGTAAAAGCATGTGAATTATTAATTGTAGTATATCAATAATATCAAGTATATAATGCTTATTAATAAATTTTAATAAAAAAAATAGTAAAAGTGAAAATATATTTGATTTTTAAATAAGTGAATAATAGAAATCACAAGAGCGAGGTTTTTTTTAGGTGGCAATCTAACCTCGGTTCATATTTGCATATTAAGAAAGAGATACAATTAGAGCAATTTCTAATAATTAAGATAAAGCTGTAAATAGATCTTCATGCATGCGCATTATGCGATACGTTTCTCAATGAACATCTAAATGCCAAGTAAAACTCAAGTGATTCTTCATATATGCATAATACGACATCACGGCATTCTAATAAAAAAGTATAATTTGAATAGACCTAGAATAATTTAGTTAAATTCAAAAATAAAACTTTATACCAGTTCACTGTGCAATAAGTTTTTCTACGAATCATAATTCCATGTGCCATGTGGATCAATTTCTAATGAATTATTTAAATGAACTCCTAATTCGACGCATTATTCGAATCAAATTCTAATAATTTATTTAAATCTGTAAGTGATTCATAATATCTGCTTAATAAGACACAAATACATCAGGTAGATCAAATTAAATTAATTCAGTTAAAAACAAAAATAATCTTGATACCTGGTCATCATGCGATAAGGATCTCCACGAACTCCTAATTCGATGCATCATTCAGATCAAATTCTAATGATTTATTGAAATCCATAAGTGATTCATTATATCTGCTTAATAAGACACAAATACATTAGTTAGATCAAATTAAATTAATTAATTTAAAAACGAAAACAATCTTAATACCTGGTCATCATATGATAAAGAGCTTAACAAACTCCTAATTCAACGCATAATTCGGTTCAATTTTTAAAGTTTTATTTAAATCTGTAAGTAATTCATCATATCTGCTTAATAAAACACAAATACATAGATTAGATCAAATTAAATTAATTAGTTTAAAGACGAAAATAATCTTAATATCTGGTTATTATGCGATAAGAATCTACATGAACCTCTAATTCAACGCATTTTTCAGTTCAAATTCTAATGATTTATTTAAATTCGTAAGTGATTCATCATATCTGCTTAATAAGACACAAATACATCAGGTAGAACAAATTAAATTAATTAATTTAAAGACGAAAATAATCTTAATACCTGGTCATTATGCGATAAAGATCTCCATGAACTTCTAATTCGACGCATTATTCGGTTTAATGTCCAAAGATTTATTTAAATCCGTAAGTAATTCATTATATTTGCTTAATAAAACACAAATATATCAGTTAGATCAAATTATCAATTAATTTAAATTCGAAAATAGCCCTTCATACCTGCTTATCATGGGATAAGGATCTCTACGAAGTCCTAATTCGACACATCATTCGGTTTAAATTCTAATGATTTATTTAAATACATAAGTAATTCAACATATATGCTTAATAAGAAACAAATAAATCGGTTAGATCAAATTAAATTAATTAATTTAAAGATGAAAATAATCTTAATACCTGGGCATCATGCGATAAGGAGCTCAACGAACTCATAATGATACTTATCATCTGGTTCAATTTCTAATAATTTAGTTAAATTTGTAAGTGATTCTTCATATCTGCTTAATAAGACCCAAAAACATAGTTTAGATCAGATTCAATTAATTAATTTAAATTTGAAAATTGGACTTAATACTTGTTCATCATGCGATAAGGTTCTCTATGAAGTCCTAATTATATGCATCATTTGGTTAAATTTCCAATGATTTAGTTAAATCTGTAAGTGATTCTTTATATCTGCTTAATAAGACACAAAAATATCTATTAGATCAAATTGAATTAATTAATTTAAATACGAAAATAGATTTTATTACCTGTTCATCATGCGATAAGGATCTCCATAAACTCCTAATGATATGTACCATTTGGTTCAATTTCCAATGATTTAGTTAAATCAGTAAGTGATTCTTTATATCTGCTTAATAAAACACAAAAACATTGATTAGATCAAATCGAATTAATTAATTTAAATCTAAAAATTGCTTTTATTATCTGTTCATCATGAGATAAGAATCTCCAAGAACTCCTAATGATACGCATTATTTGGTTCAATCACCAATGATTTAGTCAAATCTGTAAGTGATTCATTATATTTGCCTAATAAGATACAAAAAAATCATTTAGATCAAATCAAATTAAATAATTTAAATATAAAATTAGCTTTTATTATTTGTTTATCACGCGATAAGGTTCTCCACGAACTCAATGACAGCCTTCTAAGCAGAAGTTGAAACAATTTCTAATCAATGACCTAAATCTACGCATAAATTGGGTCAACTTCTAAAAATTTAACTAAATTCACAAGTGATTCTTCATATATGGTTTTTATGAACCACAGCTATCATGTAATAAGTTTAGCTACAAACTTCTAGTCCCATGCAGAAATTGGTTCAATTCCAATAATTTATTTAAATTCACAAGAGATTCTTCATATATGTTAATTATAAATTAAGGGCATTAATAAAATGTAGCAAAAGAATAAAGTTAAAATAATGAATGTAAATCGGAAAATAACTTTTACTTTTAATAACTGTTCATTCTGGGAAAAGTTTCACATGGTAAGTACACTCGTTAGCATAGTTATAAAAGTGTGGTCATTCAGCAGTGAAAGTGTCAAAAGTGCCGTGGTAAGAGATTTTGCTAGTGTATTTGTAGTATTAAGGGAATTCATGAGAGAAAGTGATGATTTGGGGCATAAAGTAGGTAAATAAAAAAAAAAAAATAGTTTCACAGTCTACTTCCTATAGAAGAAAACAAAAGGAAGAAAAATCAAAGATGAATATATATAGATATATACTATAACAGATTTACTTCCTGGTAAAAAAAAGCAGGTAACTAATAAAAAAGAGCGAAGAAAAAGAAAAAAAAAAAAAGTACTGGGTTTAAATACAGAACAAAAAAGAGAAGTAGCGATTAGAAAAAAAAAAAAAGGGTCTAGAGCTGAATTCTGGGAGGAAAAGAAAAGAAGGTAACAAATTAGAAAAAGCAAAGACTAAAAAAAAAAATACACTCGTGAGTTTACTTTGTAGTGATAAAAGAATGAAAAGAAAAAAAAAGCTAGTTAGTAAAAAAGACAAAAATCAGAAAAGAAGAAATGCGAAAAAAAAAAATAAATAAAATAGCGATAAGTAATAAAGGAGATCATAATGACAGAGCAAAAGGTACCCATTTAAATTTAATACATACATACGTATGTAGCAATAAATAAACATGTGCAATGGGAATGTATAAAAAAATATACTATTAGTAGTTTAAACAATTTATACACTCCCGATATGCTGTGATTTCGGAATGCATACTATGTGACGGAAACTCCAAAATATATATATATAGATATTTATGTTAATTTTATATTCATCATCTAAGCCATAAATGATAAATATAAAATGAATATAAACATGTAGATAAATACAGGTTATGGCTTAAATAATGAATGCAAAATAAAAATAAACATGTAAATAAATATAGTTTACTATATCAGCAATTAAAGATCAATTATTAAGATTAAACTCTAAATTTTAAGGCTTTATTCTCTTCTCTTTCTCTTATTTAAGTTATAAACTGTATTTATTTATGTATTTATGTTTATTTTACATTCATCATTTAAGCCACTAAATCTATTGCTCATATGTAATACTCTCTCAGTTAGAGAATTAAAAATTCCGAAATTTGTATTAGAATACAAAATTTTAAATTCGAATTTAAAAATTTAACCTTTTTTAAATTTGAATTCACATCTACTCCTAATTATGCTAACTTTAGATAAAAGCTTTGGTCTTGCGAATTTACATTTTATATATTTACATTACTAAAGTTCTATATTACTAATTTTTTAACTTTCTAAATTCATCTAATTGTAACTTTCTAAGCTGACATTAAATAATACTGGTTAACCACCCATAACAATTACTATTTTAACTTTATAGCATATAATAAAATTGAAATAGGGCAAACCTTATTTATACTATAATCTAAATATAAAAATTAATATCTACTTTATCAATCAGGATACAACATGTTTTGCTTTTTATTTTAGAGCTTGTCTAAATTTTTTTGATGCTACTTAACACTAAACACATCACATGAATCATATTATAACAAATCTTATCATTATATTATTAAAGTTCTGTTCATGTTAGAAGCATTCTGATTGGCTCTTTATACAAGCACAAATATATAATATTAAGAGAAGACTGGGCTTTGGGTTTTAGAGCTTATACTTAACAGGCACAATTCTAATTTGATTTTTCAGGGCTGAGTCTGTCTGGTTATAAACTTAAAACTCCAAATACCAGTTCTCTTAGCAGTACTTAAATGTAAACATTTAGAGACTACATTAATCAAAATTTTAATTATGTATCATATGCTATTGATTACGATAGATTGTTCAAGAGCTGAGCCCAACAATTTATAAACTCATATAGTTTTCATTTAGCAGCACTTATTTTATTTATTAGTTATGAAAAAATATTAAGTTACAGTACACAAGATACGATTTTTTGTATCTGTACTCTAACAATTTTTGATCAGGATTATTTAAATAATTATAAAGATTTGTATACTCATGCTACATTCAAAAGTTTACAAATTCATTCTTTAACAATCAGTGATTACAATCTAAAATAGCTAATAAAAGATCAAATAAAAATTAAAAATACAAAGTCTAGAAAGTATATATATTATCTGTTATTTCATCTTGATTTTTGTATACAGCTTCTAATTAAATTCTGGCATATGTGTATAAGTGTACACCTTGCTATTTTTGGTAGTCAATTTTACATCTTTTTAAAATACATGTGTTAATAAAATATTATGAATCTTTATACAAACTTTTTTGGTTATCAACTTGACTAAATTGATATTTACAGCTATTTTCATAATTTTTGAAACATCTGATAAAAATTGGCCAAATGATTTTTTGGCTAATTCAATTAAGTTTGTAATTTTTGCATGATCCGTATAATAAAAACTATTTTTGATTTATAATGACTGTTCTACATACCATTATAATAATAATGTCAACATTATTAAACATATGTTTAATATATTAATCAAATCTTAGCAAAAATATAAAAAATACACTATATATTAATTAGACTTTTATAATAAACATATTGTATAAAGTACATATATAAATATTACTTTTATTTGTATATACAAGTTGCAAGTTGGTTTGAGCTTTTCAAATTGTCATAATGTCTAACAAGAGTTCCATCTCAGATTATTGTTCAGTGAACATGGTTCTGAAAGTAACAGAAACTTTTCAATATCTATATTTTTGAAAGTAATTAAGAACCCAACTTAAAAAAGATAAGCTAAACCTAAATATTTGGTAATTTTTCGAAATGATATACCTCTAAATTTTTTTAAAATTTTTTTTCAGTGTTATGGTGATATACAGTATGCAGTAAATATGTTGATGAATAAGAATAAGAGTGATCGATCATCTAGTATCTTGTATACATGATTTATATAATGATCGATCAGAATTATAGATAGTTAGTAATATATTGGAATACCAAAGTAAGATCATAGTTAAGAGATCAAGAGAAAGATTAATTGTGTAATAAGAGATAGTTTATTATTAATTATGCATGAATAATCGAATAAAATATATAGATAATATAAGAGTCAAATGATCATATAATCATATATGAATGAATTATGATATAAGTAGTATGATCTGAAGTATGTATATATGAAAAAGCAAATATAAGAGTTAGTCTTAGTTAGATAGTTTAGATAGTTTTGCTCTTGTAATTAATAAATTAAACTCTTAATAAATAAAGCATATTTGAGTAATAAAATAAAATACTTGCCTTAGTATAAAAATATTGAAATCGATCATTGCAAAGCGATTAAGTGCTTCCTATCCAGGTTAGGTTATTCTTTGACGAAAGTCATAGATTAGCCCATGATACAAGAACCTGAACAAATTATCAGTAATCTTACAATGATTATATGGTCCACGAGATGAACCTAGTATGGTGATATTCAGATGATAGTGAAAGCATGATAGTGTAAAGAAAGTGGAAGATGTCAGTAGAGATAAGAGTAAAGTATCTGATGAAGATCTGAAGCTTGATGCACTAGGTAATGAGATAAATTTATTTGAATGTTTCTGGAACAATGTAGGCTGTGATAATTCTGTAGAGAGGGTAAAAAGTGTAAAGAAAAAGACAGTTAATGTAGTAAATGCTGATAGAGACAAAGAAGGTAAAACAGAAATAAGTGAATTAAAAGTAGAAAACTTACCCAAAAGCCTTAATAAGGAAGAAGTTGAAAACGATGGAGTTCAAGCATTAAAATATCATCAAAAATCTGCTGATGAGAAAAATTTTAGTAGTAGGGACGTTGTGATAATAAGAAAAGTAAAATTATAAAGAATGATCTAAAAAGAAAAATAAATATAGAGAATAGTTCAACAAGTGTTGCTGCTGAAATAAGTAATATGGATATGGATGAAAAAGAAATACTTGAAAAAAACTTGGAATATATTGAAGGTGAAGAACCTAAATTGGATGAAAATTATAGATTAGTAATTGACCAGGAAAAAATAAGTAAAAGTAGTGATTCAATATTCAAATATTATCAAAAATCAACAGAATTGAGCGATGCTGATAGAATTTTTAGTAAAGGCCATCATTATCATGGTGTTGATATTGAAAAAGATAAACACAATGCGATCATTAATTATCAAAGATCTGGAAATATGAGTAGTTTTGATAGAATATATAATAATGACTATTGTTATCATCATAAAATTGAAGATAAAATAGATGAACAAAAGGCTTTCATTTATGGAATTAGTGATGATAAGGTTCAGTATAAGGCAGTTGATTGCTATCAAAACCCTGCTGATATAGGTAATATTAATGGACTATTTGTTGGACATTGTTACTATTATAGAAATAGTATTGAAAAGAATAAACATAAAGCAATCATTCATTATCAAAAATCTGAAGATATGAGTGAAATTGGCAGAACTAATGATGAAGATCATTGTTATCATAATGGAATTGGAGTTGATAAAGATGATAATTTAAATAAACATGTTCTTGAATACTGTAATAATACAAAACTAGGTGTTAGAAGCAATGAATATAAAGTTTTTATTTATTATTAAGAATTCTCTAATATGGGTGTTCCTAGTAGAATAGGTAATAAAAAGGAAAAGTATAAGGCATTTTATTTGTGCCAAAGCCCAGCTAAAAAAGAAAACTTTGGGGATACTAGCTCAGATAGAAGAGCCGAAGTTTATTCGAATATCAAGAATCTGGTAAGGCGAAAGTCAATAATGACGTTGAAAAGGACAAATGTAAAGAGTTAGTTTATTATCGAAAACCAGAAGATACAGGTAACATTAATAAAATGTTTAACGATAATTATTATAAGCATAATAGAAATGGAGATGAAAAGAATGATTATAAGTTGTCGAATGTGGATGAAGTTGATAAATCACTTGCTGATTTGAATAAGCTAGTGAATACTGAATCAGATGATTCAATAGGGTTTAAATGGTATTTACATGTAGATGAAGGTATGAATGATAATATTAATAATAGTAATGTCGATAGTAATAAGAGTATGAAGTATACAGTGGTTGAAAATGAAGAAGAAGAAGTGAGTCAAAGAAGGGAGATAGTTAGTGGAACAAATAAAGATATGAACAATACGAATAAATGTGCAGAAGTGATAAACAATGATAGAAAAGTAAAATGTAAGAAGAATGATTATATAGATGGTAGGAGAAAAACAAAGATCGATAAAACAATTAAGAATAATGAAAGAAGCTTAAAGAAAAAGAAAGAATATAGAAAAGGTGAATGCTTACTTGAAATCCAAATAAGAAGTGTGTTTGAACATGGGAGAATGTTATTATAGAAGTTGTGGAAAATTATACAAATTTTGGGATTAGTTTTGCAAATTATATTAGAAAATAGACCTTGCAGGTGCTAGAAACTTTGGGGACGAAGTTCCTGGGGCTCTAGCTTGTATCATGGTAACATACAATATACAGTAAATATGTTGATAAATAAGGGTAAAAGCGATTGATTATCTAGTGTCTTGTGTACATGATTTATATAATTATCAATCAGAATTATAGGCAGTCAATAATATATTGGAATATTGAAGTAAGATCATAGTTAAAAGTTCAAGAGAAAGATTAATTGTGTAATGAGAGATAGTTTATGCATGAACAATTAAATAAAATGTGTAAGAAATATAAAAGTCAAATGATCATGTGATCATATAAACAAATTATTATGTAAGTAATGTGACCTGAAGTATATATATATGAAAAAGCAAATGTAAGAGTTAGTCTTAGTTAGATAGTTTAGATAGTTTCACTCTTGTAATTAATAAATTAAATCCTTAATAAATAAAGCGCATTTGAGTAATAAAGTAAAATATTTGCCTTAGTATAAAAACATTGAAATCGATTATTGTAAAGCAATTAAGTGCTCTCTATCTGGGTTAGATTATTCTTTGATAAAAGTTATAGATTAGTCTGTAACACTAGTAAAGATGTTTTGAAAATATAATATTTCTGTAATTTACTAGAGTTATTTAATTGACTTCACATATATAATATATTAATATATTAGGATTATAAAATGCAAAAGATATAAGATTTAAATAGACTTACTCTTACATTTACTTTTATTGAAATAGCTGGTAATCTCATTTAATTTTTTTTTTTGGACTGCTACAAAAAAAAATAAATAAATAAATAAAGATAATATAGCATTAGTATTTTTTATTCATTTACAAGAAATATATATAGCTAATTCCTCCTATAAACCTAGCAGATCTATAATCAATCAAATAAATAAACATAGCTAATTCCTTCTATGGAACTAACAGACCTATAATCAATCAGAGATAAGAATAAACATAGCTAATTCCCCCTACAGAACTAGCAGACATATAATCGATCAGAGTAAAGACATAATACTATACTAGCAGACATATAATCAATTGTAGTAAAGACATAATACTATACTACAAGCATGACACATTTAGAGAAACATGGTTTCTTGAAAACCATATCCTCTTCTTTCTACAATACTAGCAGTATAGGGTGTAGTACAATCCACAAAACAGAAATACACACATATGATAAAGAAACCTGATACAACTAAACACACTTCTTATCCCTTAAATAAAAAATACTAACTTTTAGTTCTGCTTGGATTGATGCCACTTTTTGGTAATAGATTAAACTCGTATTTTTCATATTATTTAATATTAAGTTTAGTTCTGCATTTAGAGAATCATAAGAATTAGTAAACTTATATTTCCCCTAATAGTATGTTTTTTATTTTTTAGGCCCTACTGCTTGATTAACTGGCTCCAAAAGTTTATTATAAAAAAAAGTTTAATATGTATTGGATTATTGTAATAGATATAATAGATATATACTACTCTTTTCATAGGGCTTTTTCAATATTTCATTTGGAAATTTTTGCATATTTGAAAAAAAATATAACACATATAATGTCTAAAAAAAATATAACATGTATAATATCTAAAGAAAAAATATAATGCATCATATAATGTCTAAAGAAAAAAAAAAAACCACTAAAAATTTATATATATTGTAATACAAGAGTCCATGTATAAAAAATTTTTTTTTACTCTATATATAAAAAAAAATTTTTTACACCTTTTTTTGTTATATGCACCCAATATAAATACAAAATAAGCACGATGAGAAATAAAATCTGAATTTGCTGTTATATAATATTTAATTTCATTGTTCTGGTTTATACTCATTTTTGCTTGTTTTATTTATTTATACAGTCAATTGTAATTTTTAAAATACTTTTATTACAGAATATGTCAATCAAATTAGTATAAATCTCAATCAAATTCATAATATTTGATTTTGATCTATTAATTGAATTTTGATAATTTTAATACTATTTGAATTGTCTCATAAAGACAATTTAAATAGTACTAAAATTATTAAAATTCAATTACTAGATTATGAGATATCAATAATAGATCAAAATCAAATATTACGAATTTGATTGAAATTTATACTAATTTGATTGATATATTCTGTAGTAAAAATTGTTATGCTTTATAAAAATTTTTTTTTTGTACTATGTACATGACAAATAAGTAACCGATTTTTTACTACTGCTGCTGTTTTTCAACAAGAGATACAGAAGTTCAGCAAAGTAAATGAGAAATAAAGTTTTTATTAGCCTCAATAACATCGAACGGTTGGAAGACTTTAATAATATATGTTGGTTAAAATTCTACCTAGTTAAGTATATACTATACTTTTAATTTGCTTGTGTATAAGCAATTATAAAAACAATTACCACATGTTTAATCTATTTGTGGAGATTTTTCTTGGATTGAATAAACATTAAGCAGAAGTCCGAATAAGCATTAAGCATTCATACTTTATTGAAAGTTAGCTAAGATGGGTAATTCTGTGTATTTTTTAAAAGTTATTAATTGGATATATATATATATATTATATATATATATATAATTATAGTCTGTTACTTTTTAAATATATAATTTTTAAGATTCATACCTTGCTCGGCAAACTAAAATATAATTATATCTATTATAGTAAGCAAGACAAAAGTGTTAGAAGATAAAAAATTTTTATGTGCTGCCTATCTGAATCTTTATTAGATATACACAAACGATTATAACTTGAATTGTAGCGAATTTATAAAATTAGAGCATTTTGACTATGAAGTGTGCAATTAACTATTTGTTTTGATATTTCTTATTGACTATATCTAATATGATTTTACAATAAAAAACAAATAATAAATAACGCACTTTATAGTTAAAATACTTTAATTCATAAACTTGCTGATGAATATGGTCATGCAAACTCAAGAATTTGTGAACCTGATAAAAGAAGTTGTGCTATATCTAGATTAAGAGAGTATGATGAAATAGAAAAATCTGAAAGGCTTTCATGAACCAGGGTTAAATCGCTATCCAAAAAAATTTCAGATCATATAATTTACACTATTCACATATTTAAAAGATCAAATACAGTATACTTTTGTCTTTTATTAATAAGCATCATATAACTGATATAATTGATATACCACTAGGGTTTTTATTATACTGGTATGATAGAAATGGTTTAAAACTAGACTGGGTTGATATTAAACATATGTAGGAGGTATTATATATGTGAAATTTGAATAGTGTGAATTTAAAATTAAGTTGATTTAGACTAAAATTTGATTTCAAATTATATTAGATCAATTTATCTATTGTATTATATTAAAATTAATTGTTTTTTAAATTAAAAATTTTTTATATATATACATATTGTTATAGAATGAATTAATTATTAGTTTATTATTTTATTATTTATTATTTATTAATTATTATCTTAGAATATT